TGGTTTGAAAACACAGAACATCCCAAGGCATGTAGAGAAAGCTTGTGGAGATACAGCTCAAACCACATGAAGCTATTCATCAGATGGAAATGTACAGTGTCATAGTCCAACATGCATCTTGTCTTTGTTAAACCACACTGTACTGGGGGTTAAGTCATGCGGTAGTATTGGGGAAAACCCTCCCAACCTTTCAATAAAATAAATGCATAAATACAGGTTAGTATGCACCATAATAATGTAAACAAAACTTAATACAAATTAAAAAAGGATGTGCAATCTCTTGCTACATGTCAGATCCTAATTATTGAAGTAGAAATTATTTATACAAAATATTTTTTGTAAAAATTTGTTTATAAAAACTGTTTATATATATATTATTTTTTTTTTTATTTTTTTTTTTACATTTGCCATGGTGGTTCTGTGACAGTTTTGTTCCCAAAGAGCTTCAGCATTTTCTGTGCCTTTCTTCTTTCTTCTCTCCTTACATTTTTCTTTTTATCTGTCAAGATAAAACCATAAAACCATATAAAACAGTGAATCATATTCAAGTTAAATAATGTAGGCAGTAAAACCATATATGTCCTTTATTATTGATGTACAGCATTAAGAATTCAGTTTGATCACTTCAATACTTCAATATGTCCGTCACCTCTTAATCTAGTCAGAGTGACATTATTACATTTATTATAGAAATGACATCCTGCTGTGATGTTTTTTGTGTATTGATATATATTTCTTTCGTTTTTTGTTTTGAACATGTTGACATTACATGTCATTTAAGTGTCAAAGAAAAAAGAAAAAGGCAACTCATTTAGAAAGAAAGAAAGAAGCAAATCAACTACAATATGGAAATTATATATTATGGTGACTCTTCTCATCTTCAACTGTAAAATATAAAAACATATCAAAATGAAACGTGGATTTATGGGCTCTATTTAAAGGGGTCATATGATGCTGCTAAAAAGAACATTATTTTGTGTATTTGGTGTAATGAAATGTGTTTATGCGGTTTAAGGTTAAAAAAACACATTATTTTCCACATACTGTATATATAAAAAACGTACTTACATTCTGTGAGTCAGAACAGCCGGCATTGTAGTCTACTCTTCCAGGATCAGGAAACAGTCCTCCATAAAATGTCCTGGACACATCGGAATATTTGGGTTGAAGTGTTCTGGAACAGTGTTGTAAATACAACTTAACCACTGATTTCTAGTCGTGTCCTCTTTTGGAAGACCAAACAAAGTAGTTTCGCTTTCACAACGAAACACACCGCGGGCTAGAGTGAGCGGCGGCCGGCTTGAGTGAGCGGAGGGCGGCACACTAGAGTGAGGAACGGCCGGAGGGCTAGAGTGAGCAGAGGCGGCGG